TTTTGTTTATAAACTGTTCAAGAATTGGAATACTGCTTAAATCTTTGTCAGTAAAAACTGAAGAAAAAGCTAAATTTAATAACTTAGCCATTTCATAATCATCAGATACTAGCCTTCATTTATCATCCTTCAAGGGTATACTACCTCATCCTAACATTTTATTTTCCCTTAATATATTTAAAGAAATCCTTACTGTTAATTTTTACATTTTCAGCCAACCTTTTCTCATACAACTTTTTGGATGTCCTAATTTACTGTTTGAACAACTTTCTTGGTATTCTATAATCCTCTAAATCTCCCATGATATCAGTCAATTTATATTTCTTAAAGTTGTGATGCTATTCTTTAATTTTATCTCTTATACACTTTGTGAGCCAACCTGGTTTTTACTTGCACCTACCCGTTTCTTTCTATAAGGAATATGTTTACCTTTAAAATTAAAAAATTATTTTTAAAAATTTTCTTCATTTGATCAGTGTCTGCAAATAACTCAGCTGCCGTGATTCACAACAGATAATTCTTGTTGCATCCCTTCAATATTTGATTTTTGGAAACTTGTAACCAAAATATCATTATTCCTTTTCTCCATATGCAGCAAAACATTGAACTTAATACAGCAATGATCACTTGCACCCAAATGCTGTCCAATTTCCACTCTCTCAATAATTTCTGTATTTGAAGTTAACAATAAATCTAAAATAGCATTGTTTCTAGTAGGTTCCTTGACTAATTGGTGAAGAAAGCCATCTTGAACAAAAATATTTCTCCCTCATGGTTTGACTCTAGTATTTCCTAATCTATATGCCTTAAATTAAAATCACCCATAATTATGACTTCATTAACAGCTGAAATCTTAATCTCATTGAAAAGTTTCTCACTAATTTCATCAGTATCATATGGTAGTCTATAACAAGTTCCCACTAAAAGCTTTTACCTCTTATATCTGCTAATAGAAACCCAAATGGGTTCAATATCCTTGCTGTCACCTTTGATATCCTCAACTTCAACAGGATGTAATTCACATTTTCAATATAGTACATTACCTCCACTCACATAATTACCCATTCTCGTTTAATGCTGCCCTCTACATGCAAAAATATTTGTATGCATGTCACAGGCCTTCTATCTCCCCTCCATTGGAATTGACTGATTCCAATGTGTGTCTCATGCAAACCATCATGTATCAACCCTCCACTGATAAGAGTGCGACATACTCTCATGATGCATGTGACTCCCTCTATTCAGTTATACCAAACTATCACTTCTTGTTTGGCAGTACTTGTGTTCAGACATTTTTTTTTGTTGCTATGAATTGTGATTTTAATAGTTTAATTTCCTAAGTGGGATTTCTTCATTACTATTATTTTAAATTAACTTAATTTCCCAGTCTTTATTATTTTTCTCACACTCGTATATTTTTTACATCAAACACTTTTGTATCATTTACGTATTTCTACCATGAATTCTGAGGTTCATGTTCCCAATTCGGATGTTATACCTTTAGCACTATTTTCACAAGCTGTGGGTGGGGGAGACCTGTTGTTGGATTTCTCTGCTATTATCCATCTTGAATTTGATCGTTATATGAGTCAACCTTCTTCTCTTGAACTTGCCCCACTAATCCTTCT